AGTGTAAAAAACCAAACTTCTCCTTTAAGGGAAAGCAAAGCCTACCTGAAAAAGCTAATTTCAGCTGCTTGTATCCAGGATCTTGTTCTTTCAGTCATTATTCAGATTTCACGACCATGACCATGAGGGTAGGAAAAGAGCTTTGCATTTTTACTCAGCTCTGTCTTCACCATGACAGACCAATGCAGCATTTGCATCATAACGGCAGCCGCACTGATCCGGCTCTCCTCACTTGTGAACATGACCCTAATTTACTTGAGCTCCTCCATTTGAGGTAGAAACTCTCTTCTCTCCTCTCACCTGAAGGAGAGGCTGAAAAGCAAAGCTGGGATGTGATCCACTGGTCCGTGAAACCAGAGCCCATACGGCCCTTGCCAGCATTTAGAGATTTTGTACGTTTTTATTGAAAAAAACAGATTTTTATTCCACCCTTTTTGACTAAAACATAGTCTGATGAGCAGATCAATACCTCAGTAGTTCAGCTCTGATGCAGCTATAAGCCTGTAGCCTGGGCACAGGTTCCAGCGCTGCTTCAGAAGTTACGTCAAATGCATCCATGTTTAATTATTAGTAAGTAAGTTAAGTATAAAAGTTACATGTTAAAACACTTTTCCTTATATACTTTAAATCTCCAAAAAATATTATAGAAGCATTTGCAAAAGAAGATTTTTGACGTAATCAAATTTTAGATGTTTTATCTGCTCTCGTTTTGTGTTTTGTCATTGCTAAGAGAAACATGGATGGTAAATGGGGACGATGTAAGTTTTTAATATTAATGTCTGTCTTGTTACAGGGATGCAGGATTTTAACTATCTGAGCAGCAACTGTTTTGAGATTACTCTGGAGCTGAGCTGTGACAAGTTTCCCAATGAAGATACACTGAAAAGCTACTGGGAGCAGAACCGTGACTCCCTCGTCAGCTACATCGAGCAGGTTGGCATCACTTTGCTCTCTTAAATCCTGATCAGTCATCCATACGTAAGATTTGAATCCAAACATCTTAAGTTAACTGAACTGAAGTCATAGATTATCTTCCATGCTATTGACCATCAAAATGTCAAAATCTAATTGCTTATTAGGTAAACAAGAAATGTCTTAAAGGAGTTTAGAAAAAAAAGTTTAGGTTTATGGTGTAAAGTAAATTAAAATCTGGTTTATATAATAAGATGACATCGTCACATAAAGATCCTCAGCTGACTTTTTAAATCTAAGCTCATCCTTGTGCCTTTTGGTCAGGTCCATCGTGGCGTTAAGGGCTTTGTTCGTGATCTGCAAGGAAACCCCATCTCCAACGCCACCATCTCTGTGGAGGGAATAGACCATGACATCACCTCAGGTAATAACACTTAACAAAAGCCATGACACAAGCATTGTTTTAAAACAAAACAATGGCCCCATCTTGTGGAAAAAATAAGAACATCATCTCTTTTTCTTAATGCGTCTGGGTGTGAGGTTTGCTCAGTTTTAGGATTTGTAGGGCTTTGTAATATTGTGATATTCACCCCTCATATTCTCTAGGTTATTAAATTTGATGCAATTAAAGCTAAAATATCATTTTGTACCAGCTTTGCACATCAACAGGTGGAAATTCTCCCATTTTTTGTTGCAAATTCGCTTCAGCTTTGTCCAATTGGTAGAAGCGCTTGTTATAAGATATAATTTCTTTGCTAAAAATGAAGGCAGAATTCAGACCAGGCCGTTCTAACATGAATTACATTAACTTTGCCAGTTTGTCTCTTTTAGCTTTGTTTGTCCTGCTGGATTCTGAATCTCCACCACATTAGAAGCTTTAGAAATAGTGTTATAACCTAACTGTGCTTTAAGGCCTCCACAGAAAAGCGGCTTTTATTTTGAGATAAATTTAAACAAAGATGGAGTGAGTTTCTTTATTGTTAAGTTCAGAAGGTTTTCTTTGATTTTAAAAAAAGGAGTTGTACAAATACTTAGAATAGGCATACTTCTAAAAAGCAGTTGTGTTCATGTCAGGAACTTAAAACTGTTATGATGACAGTTGTCAGAGGTCCGTATTAAATATTAAGTTATAACTCTGTATTTTATAGCCAAAGATGGAGATTATTGGCGTCTTCTGGCTCCAGGAAACTATAAAGTGGCTGCAACTGCCCCAGGATACCTGACCGTCATCAAGAAGCTGGCTGTTCCCTACAGCCCTGCAATTAGGGTAAGACATACAAGATATGAAAGCAAACTTCAAATAAAAACAAGTGATGCCTTTTTTTCCACGGATTGCCCACAATCTGTTTCTCTCCTTAGCTCTTTTCCTTAGACCTTTATTCCTCACAATTAGAATGCTAAACATTAGAAAGTGTCACAGTTGGGTGGAGGTTTTTGAGGACCCAAATGCAGAGATCAGGAGGCAGAGGTGAATCTTTTAGATTTAATTGCAGAACTGAGGCAAAATACAAGAGCCAAAAGACTAGAAAATGTCAGGGGAAAACTCACGTGGGAAGCCAGAGATGAGGAAGCAACTAAACAACAACAAAAACAAGGAACGAGCACTGAGTGGCTGCAGAGGTGGTGTATATAAGGGGAACAGAACAGAGGATGGGCTAATGAGCTGAATATGGAGCAGGTGTGAAAGTAACCAACTAGAAGAAAGCCAAGGGGAAAAGAAACAAGCACAAGAGGGCAACAGAGAGTAAATAAAGGCTGCTTGAATATAATGGAAAATAAACCAAAGATCAACAAAATAGAATAACTGAAAACTAAAAGCACAGAGACCTAAAAGGGGAGAACCATAACAGAAAGAAAGGTTTACTAAATAGAAATGCTGGGGTAATCAGTTAAAAACAACCTGTTTTGCACAGCTGCTTCATCCATCAGATCCTCTCTTCTGTTCACATTCTACTGCAATCTCAATTATATAAGAGAAATAGTATTAGATTTTAGGATACATCTTGTAATTAAAGAAACATAACATTTTTAGAAATTGTGCTCCCTGTAAATCAATACTCAGCTTTAAAGGTTTTACTTAAACCAAATTCCTCTTTCTGACTGAGTTAAGTGTGCTGTTTATTTTCCTTTTTAAATGGGGATTTAATTAGAAAGGAGTGCGATTATCGATGCTCTAGTACAGTCTTCATCAGCAGGGAAAAATCTGAAAAATGTTCTCCTCAGTGCCTGAGAACGTTTAAAGTAACATGCACTTTTTAACATTTATTGCATTTCCCACTTTTCTCTGGGCCAAACATATTTTTGCATTCAACTGAAAATGTTTTTTCTTCCCTGGAAGTTAAATTCTTTTGCTTCCATTGTTATAAAACTAACATGTTAGATCCATTGTTCTCATCCATTTAATTGTCATTTTCTTTTTTCATTAACAAAAAAGGGAAAACAGGAGCTGATAAAATGTTTCTTTTCATATTAGCAATAGGGCTCATCACTCAGGGCGTCATGATGTCAGAGGCTGGTATGAGTTCACAGAAGGGGAAAGGGTGTAATCTTGTAATAGGATATCTGCATACATTTTGGCCGAGTATTTGCACAGAAGATGGCATCTAAATCACAGCTTCCTGTTTATGCTAAATCAAAGAGTTTTACTGTTGAAGATAGACTATTTGTTCATTTCTACTTTAAAACAAAATAATTTCACTTGTCGAACATTAACTGGATAAATCTACACTTAACTGAAACCTCTTCAGACACAATTGGATATTAAAAAAACATTTCTTATGACATGTTCTAAATAGTTTTTTTCTCTTTTCGATCACTATATCAGCGTAGGGTCAGATGATTTGGATTATTCTGCACTGAAAATAAATAATTTCACACACCATATTTTATTTGTAACAACTCAAAGAATAGACCAGAAAAAAAAACCAAAAAAAAAAAAAAACAAGTGGACATGTTTCTCTTGGCAGCAAAATGACTTTGGATAGGGAGACAAAAATCAATTTACATGTCAAGACAAAAACCTCAGAATATTTTATACTAATAGCACATAAAACATTTATGAAAACAAGAAAAAAACATCTTACACAGGGAACCTCTTATGAAAAAAACAGCTCAGCTTTTCTTTTTCTGATTTGATTAAAAAAAGCTAAAACCTTCTATATAATGAAAGGTCATTGGTTTGAAATATAAAATATCTAACAGTCCATACATTTTATTAAATAACTCTAAATTCTTTACTTCAGCATTTCAGAATGTTGAGAAAATTGTACATCTTTCTTTTTTTCTACTACAACAGTTTTTTGTTTTTTTATATCAGGTGGACTTTGAGCTGGAGTCTCTGATGGAGGAGAAGGAGGAGGAGCGGGAGGAGCTGATGGACTGGTGGAAAATGATGTCACAGACGCTGAACTTCTAAACTGTTTCGGACCATCGATGTAAAATATGTTCATCCTGTGTACCCGTCCCAATCTAAACTGTTTATATTCTTTCTCTTTTGTTCCAATTCCATTACTATCTGAAAAAATCTGTCCGTTTTGTTGGTGTTTGCGTCATTATACCTGTAGGTTATGGAAATGTGGAGTACACAGTTGAAAACTAAAGGCAGAGCTGGACGGTCGTTTGGTGGCAGTGAGGTTGATGTTTATTTTTGTGGTGAGCATGGCCTGTATCACAAAGATGACTGAGTAATATTTAATGATGTATGTAGAGTGGCTCTTTATATCATCTTTTTTGTGGTCCTGTTTAACGTCTCTGTTTCACCCGACTTCAGTACAAAAAATAATATAACACAATCCCATTCACTCTCTAACAACTGTGAGCACACTTGCTGATAATTATCACTCTTCTGTTTTGTCTTTTGAGGGGAAAAAAAAAATCAACACTAAGGTTCAGAGATGATCAGGGATGTTAAAACCACTCTAACATTGACATGAACACTCTATACAGACAGGTCGATGCCCCTGTATGTTATTTATTTTGAGATTTTCTTATTCTTAAGCACACACTTAACTTGAATGTTCATAATATATTCTGTATTTATAAAATGCATATAACAAGAGACGTGTGTTGTTTTTGTTACTAAGATTTAGAAAATTAGGCCAGTATAGCTTCAAAATATACTCATCTAAATTTATGGAACATATTCCTTTGCACATGCGATGCTCAGGAAAGCACGGCAATGCAAAAGAAAAGTTCCCAGACTTTGGATGCATTTCACCAAGTATGAGACCACAAAAAAGATTTATGAATGTATGAAAAAACAACACATGTAAATTCTAGAGAATAACCTGTTTAATAAAGTCCCCCTATTTATGTTGTCAAGCTGCGATCTAATGTCATTCTTTACTCTGCTTATTTGAATAAAAAACACCTCTATGGTCATATAATGGGATAGATGGACACAGTGTTCAGGTGAGACAGACAGTGGGAAGTTTCAAAATGTTTAATGACAAATAAACAACAGAAACGGAACTGCTTTCGATCCACGGACCTGCAGCGCTGCGGGGAAGGAGGAGCATCGCCCAGCACTGGCACTCTGATTGTGGGAGAAGCACAGGTAGCTGACCACGATCATCTGACGGGAGATGATTATGCGTGTGAGTCACTTACCTGGTTTTACAGTTCAGTCCATCTTCTTGCGTGAGGCAAGATCCAGCCGATGGACTACCAAACTAGATGAGGCGCTGAGCCGTCCAGGGTGTCCCCGATGCAGCAACCCCAGTGAGCAGGCAAAAGACCGATCCAGGTCAGGGAAACTTTTCAGAACAGGACCATTTTGAGATCCAAGAGTCCGTAGTCCGACCCGAGGTTCCAATCCAAACAGGAAGAGACAGATCCAGGGTTCCAGGAATCCACAGAGCATGAAGGCAGGTTTAGCATTCCATGAGTCCAGCAGCGAGCTCAGACAGACATGCTCAGATGGAGACAAGGATAGCTGCCAAACTTTAAACTGGCTCCTTTCTGGAGCCGGGATCACGGGAGTTAAAACTGGCTTTCCTCGCACTCCGAGCCAAAAATGAGAGGGCTCAGGGGAGAAGAGCCAGGACACAGGAGACCAGCAGAAACACCTCTATATGCTGGCCCCGAGAGCAGGGACATGAACCATGGACTTAACTAAAACTAAATCTCAAACAAACATGAATAACTAATGAGATGGCCCCATAGCTTGGCTGAAGTGTATATATAGCAGAGGGAGCAGGTGGATAAGATGAACGATAATTAGAGCAGGGAATGAAGTGAGTAATTAGATCAGCTACCGGAGCTGCAATCATGACATGAGAAGGAGACATGGCTGAACGTTTTCCCAGTTTAATTGTTTTGACTCATTTATTCCCTAATGATTAGATGATGTATATTTTATTGAGACATAATTATATTGCTTCTTCTCTGAGTCATTGATGAAACATTTACATAATTCCTTCGTGTAACCTGAAATTGACTGTTTTACTGAATTTTAATGTGAAATACCACTAGAGAACCACACGTAATTTTAAAATTGAAAGTAAATAATGAAATGGACTTTAAAAAGATAAAAGCAAGTGGTTACTTGAAAGGCCCCTTAACAAATGAATTCCATCTTTTAAATTTACTTTAAAATACAATTTTCTGTAAAGGCTTTATACTTTTGTTAGAGGATATCAAAAATAACAGCATCATAAAGACAAAACTAACACTAACATCAAGCAAGAAGTGCAGTAATTAGTGAAACATCTTATTGCCCATATGAACTGCAGGAGCTGCAGAGCTCCAGAGCTTGGTTGGCGGAATAAAATAAATGTAGGAAGGAAAAAGCTGTATAGATGAAGACTGAATGGTTGTCTCCTCTTAGGAATTATTTTCTGACTGTTTAATATATTTAAAACTTGCTTCCTGAAATGAAGATCAACAGATTTGTACATCCTGGTTGGTTCTGACAGTGTGTTTTAATATGTACCGGTATGTATGGTTGCTTCTCATTTAAAGACATGGTACTTGGTACCAAACACCATCATAAATAATGATATAAATGAAAGAGTAGCTTCTTCCAACTTTATAGGAATATTCTGATGATCCATGGATTTTCAACGATAAAGGTGCTCTGCCACATAAAAAACAACTGTAAAATAACTCAGAGATTGTGAGAACAAGAAGCTATTTTTGAAGGGACTCACCAGATTACCCCACAGAAAATATGTGATCAGTTTCAGAAAGGCAAACTGTGAGCACTAATGATGATGGTGATAATGGATCACCATCAGTCATATCAGAAGTTAACAAATCAAATAAAAAAGAAATGTTGCTACTGGATTATTTGTTGTTTAGTCATATGAATCATACGAATATGTAAAATCAAACCTGGAATAGCCAAAATCTTAAAGCTCCAAATCACAATTTTAAGTTGTCATCACGCTTTGCTGGATGAATGGTATAAGAAATGATAAAAGAAGTCAGGAAATAATGATAGTTAGATTGTATCTTATTATCGTATGTTATTTAACCTGCTTCATCTTGTTTTGCTCCAGGTTTAATTATAATTATTATTAGAAAAAACTTGAGGTTTTATATCATATTTTTTTTCAGGTATGGGAGGGTTTAAAAAATGATTAGCTATAATCATTTATAACATTTGTTTTCTATAAAAATATATATATATATATATAAAAAATACTAAGCCGACATTAAACTCTTTATACTTTTGGCCACTAGAGGGCAGGAAAACCTCTGTACATATTTATCTGTTTTACCATAGCCTGGTTTTGTTAAACATCCCAGAACAAAGGCTTAACGCTATCAGATCGTATTTTATATAAGTTATCCGTATTTTTAATTATTTATTATTATTTTTTTTAGCTTTTAAGTTATGTTTTAAATGATGAATTATGTTTTGTTTTTACAAGCTCTGTCTGTATCAAGCATTATAGTCTGTAAAAGGTGCAATCTTTTATCCTATAAAGGCATTTTATCTGCCAGGAAAGCTTTATGTCTCAGTTTACCTCAGATTATACATTATTTATTTAGCTATAGCACAATAAATAGTAGGATGTGTGCTTAATATGTATTTCTTTAATTCTAATTTTCCTTTTTTTCAAATCATTTCCAGGTTAACAGGAAAATAAATATGATATAGATACCTTAACTCTTAACTGTCTGGACAAACAAATAGTTAACAAATTGCTTTACAAAAATGGAACAGTCGAAAGATATGTTGGAGGTTTTAGGTTCAGATCATACATTTATCTGTTTCTGTTTTTACATACGCAGTGTGTATTTTGACCAATATTCAGTTCAGAATGGGACTATATTTGTGGTTAGAAATCTTAACAAAAGTTAATTTTAAATCAGCAAACTGCAGCCAGCACACAAAGTGGTTCCTTAAGTGTATCAATGAAAATATTGCATCATTGCTTTGATAGAAATGGGACGTGAGTCAATGAATGTGATGAGGATGTGTTTTATGAAAGTATACTGGATCAGGTTGTTTTATAAATTGAGATGATTTTTGCTGTGAATTGGAACTGCATAAATTAACTGAGTGAAATCATTGTCAAAAGAGGATTCTTTATGTTATGGCTTTAAAAAAAAAACCCTCTTACTTGAAGTGTTTATGCTGTTACTCAAATACAAAGAACATTTTAAACTTGCTGCCTAGCTAAAATCTGATTAACTTTTTGATGTAAATAAATCCTCTTTTCTCTGGTTCTATGAAACCCTCCCAGTACTTTGCATATTGGCAAATCCATTTTCACCCTTTTAATTCATGTGGTTGAAGCGTTTAACTCTTTTAACTCTGGTGAACTCATATTTCATATACTATTGTTTTTTCACTGAAAAGCTTTAACCTTCGAGATCCAGAATAAAGGAAACCACCTATGAAACAAACTGCTAAAGTTATCAGCTCTGAGAGAGGAGGTGTTTCTATGTAATACTGTAAATGCACAAATAGAACAGTTTGGTGAGTAGTACAGGCATAACCATCCATTTTGAGACAAATTAATATTTTTTTTGAAGTAGCATAACATCACACTGGAAGATGTAGAAAAATTTATCTTAAACTTGATCACATTTAAGAGTATTTATAGCACATTTATACAAATCTCTTTAAACTAATTAGAACAAATTATATGTAATTGATTCAGTTCTGCAGTACTTTTGAGGTTAATTTCAATTTGCAAGACATTTTCTGTAAAAACCACCATTAGTGGCAGAGAAAACAGTTTGCCACAGATGCCACAGCTACCAAGCTGAAAAATATCTGTAAAGATTGCTTCATGACAGTAAAGTGAAGAATCTGGTGGTCACTAGGTCTCCAAAACAACCACTGGTTGCTTGTGCAGCGTGATCAGAGAAAAAAACTACTTTTTTACTAATACAAATATAAACCTCTTGAATTTGCAAATCATTTAATTGGAATCATATCCAATGGACAGATGAGATAGATGATAATACGGATGATAATTTAATCGACTAACTCTGAAGATGAGTTTGCACAATTCATATCATGAGCAGCTCATATTCACTGTTATTACAGTGCATGACAATATGAACATTTCAAAGTGCCAGGACATTTCAGATATAGATATTGAAACCTCCACCATGAGGCTGAAATAGGTTGTTCATTAGGAAAATCATCCAATGTACAGAAAGGGTTCATCGTTATAGATTTGCCATCCCTTTTTACACTCCTTATAGACAACTGAAAGATGTCCCACAGTACATTATAATAATTATACCACTTGTGACTTTTTCCAATATACAACCAATAATTAAAACCTTTTTAATAGAAGTACACATTTTATATCTTGATGTCTGTCTGTTTTATATATAAGCAAGGAAATGTTAACCCATTTAACTGATACTAAGGTTTTGCAGAGCTATATTCTATGAATAAAGATGAAT